CCCCCCCCCTCTCAAATAAATAAATAAAATCTTAAAAAAAAAAAAAAGACACCTACCCTCCTTTGTGTCAGCAGAACCCTGAGTTCTGATGTCCCACCTGTATTTCTGAGACTGATTGTGATGAAGGCAGATAATGTGTACTTTTTATTAATAGATTTTTATTTGCCATTATTTAAAATAAGTAGACAGAATGTTTCATCCACTGAGATCAACATGTTTTTAATGAAGTATTTGATAAGAGTTAAGGAAGGGGATGCTCTCGTTTATGAATTTTTATAAAGTCCAAAGTGGAAATGAGGTATTTTGATTTGACTAATTCAATGTGAAACATTTTAAGAATGTTTGAATGTTAATTTTGACCAGTATTTCCGATTGATTTTGCACAAACGCACCCTTCTGAAAAATAGTTGTTTGTTTGATGCTTTCTTTAAAAGTCATTCTATATCTCCCACCCCTTAGGGCCTTCAGCATTTGCATAACAACAAAACCATCCACCGTGATGTAAAAGGAAATAACATTCTGTTGACCACTGAGGGTGGAATCAAACTCGTAGATTTTGGTAAGTGTGGCTTGAAATGCGTGAGTTTGGGCTGCAAAATGAGCCCTCAGCCTCACTTTCTAGGCATTGAAAGTGGAGAAAAAACAGTATCCCACTGAGGGAAGAAAGTGCAGGGATTTTTCTTGTAAGTTTGGTCAGTGAGAGATTCCCAGAAGCAAAAGTGACTCTTTTCAAGCCAGCGAGCCTGTGCTCACACCAGTGTAGCAGTATGTGGGTTGATGGTCTGAAATAGACAGCACCCCAGATGCTGACACTAAGCCTACGTGGTAGTCCCACGGCCCTTATTAGTTGCTTTACAAATGGGCATGTGTCCAAATGCAAGATTTCGAGACATGAAGGGAAACCTTCAAAGGTCTCTGGGAAAATTGTTCCTGTCGTAAGAAGGAGGCACAGGGAGAGGTGGTCTCTTTCTTTCTTGGGACCCTGTCTGTCTTATTGCCATGCGTGAATGCGCTGCAGCCCCCTTGCTCTATCCCAAGAGGAGAGCCACCCTGGGAGAGGCGGAGCTGAGAGGCAGGAAGAACGAGGGTCCTCAGTGGTAGAACTGAGCCACTGAATCAATGGATTCCGGCGCCTGCCCTCTCTCTGGACCTTTTGTCATGTGAGATAATAAATTTCCATATTTACTAAGCCAAATGGGTTTCTGTGTCATAGCCAAAGGCATCATAACTGATAACGTTCCCTGTTCATCTGGGCAGTTATTTAGCGGTATGACAATGTCCTTCCACACCTCCTCTCATTGGATTCCTGTTGAGTGCACTGCTCCTGGGACGGTGGGCCACATTATTCTAGAACGTCTCCATGTCAAGTGTCCTTCAGTCACCTTTCCCTTACTCTGGCTGGGGAAGGTGTCCCTCCTTGTGCTTCTTTACCCTTTATATTTCTCCCTTTTTGTGTTTATCACATAGGATTTTCACTATCTATTTGGTCCTTATCCTTTGATAAAAATACTTAGGAAGATAGATAGGCTCTTTCAGAGGTAGAATTTCATCTTACTCTGTCTTGTAGACCTAATGCTTTGGGTGTAGTAGTGCAGTGAGTAATAGTTGAAGGAATGAATGTTACTTCATTTTGCATTTTGGAAACTGAAGCTTAGGGAAGGTGGAAATTAATTGAGTTTAATATCCGAGTGTGTAGCTCCCTAGGGATCTGGCTTACCCCCGGAATGAATTTCAGAGCATCTGGAGAGGAATGGATGAATCGCATATTCTTCAAACAGCCATGCATGCACCTTTTTTTTTTTTTTCCTCAGTTGAGTTTTTGAAAACTGCTGAGCAACAGTGAGCTTGACAGTGAATTTCTGATGAACAATTGGGATGCAGCTAGTCTGTTGCTGGTTGAGTTCAGAGCTGTGTGTTGGCACAATCTGGCTGGGTTAGGATACTAACAGCCAACTTGTGCCTGAAATGGAAAAGAACAACAACAAAATGCTTTATATTGCTCCATAGGAAGGGCCGTTCTCTTCAGTCATGAAAGAAAAACTGGTAAACCAGCAGCTTTGAGAAATGCACCTTCCTGGGACACCCTCCAAAGTAGTCTAGATTAAAAACATATACCTAAATAACAAAGTGGACTTTTATGTGATACCTTTGTAAATAATCGTAAGTTGGGAAACTGACAAAATGAGGGCTTTGGTTTTGGATGAATTGAGTTACGGACTTTATTTTCAGCAACAATTAGAAAAGAGGGCCAGTCACCTACTCAGTGTGTTCACAGTGTCTGATACTAAAATGCTATTATTTGCATGTAAGATAATGCTTATATTTCTGTTCCCTGTGGTAAGATGACTTGGATTCAGTTTGCCTAAAACGATTTGTAGGTTTCCAAATGAATTAAAACCTGGGGATGGAGGTGCATGCCTAGTGAATCTCCTCAAGGGCAGAAGGAGTCAAATGTGATAAGCCACAACCTGCCGCATTTACATTGAAAACCGATGTCCTCATTTAACGTTGAAATGAAATGTTCGGGGAAGGCTGAAGCTGGGAGTAGTGTTTTAGAATACATTTTATTTGAATTTCTCACCTCACAAAATCAATAGTAAGCTCATTATTGGCTCCCGAAGGACTGTGCCCGGATGGCTACCAGTCTTCAAAATGTCCAAGTGGAACTCCACCACCCCAGCCATCCCCAGAAATCTGCTTCATGTCAAGAGTTTCTTGTCTTGGAAGAAGTCACCAGTCCTGTTTCGTTGCTTAAGTCAGAAATCTTAGGCTCATCCCAAGAGTCTTCCTTCGTCTTTGCCTCCCACATCTACAACTAGTCGCAAAGTTCTGTCTCTCTATTACATGTATCCCCGGTCTCCATCTCTCTGGCTTCTCCCTACTACTGGCCGCTATCTCCCACCTGACCTCCTGCACTTCTCCTTCCCTCAACCCCTGCATCCAGTCTTCCTCCCTTCCTTCCGGTCCCGTTCTCCACACCGCAGCCAGGGGCACCCTTTCGGAAAGCGTAGCTGGTCCTGGCACTGTCTTGCTCAGTATTCTGGTCAATGGCTTCCACTAGCCCTTGTGTAGGCCTTTGCCTTATGATTTTCTGGGTAGCAAGACCCAGGCTACCTCTTGAGAAAGGTCTGTCTAAATCGTTTTATCTTCTCTTTAGCATACAGAGAATAAATTTCCAGGGATACACCAGAGGGTTTCACACAAGAGAGAACAGGAAGAAGAGGGAACACTTTCCAATTCTAGGGAGATTGTGGAAAGATGAAACAGAGAAAGAGGCAGGAGAGTGAGATGAGCTTTACAAAAGTGAAGCTGACAGCGAGGGCAGGAAGAAGCTCTCACCCACACACTCCCCACCATTGTCGTCCACATTCCAGAGAGGCCACCGTTGCAGAGTGGACCAAGCCACGTCCTTGTCATCTACATCTGGACATGTAAAGTGATTCAGTAGAAGAAATACTCAAGTCGAGCTTCCCTAAACCCTCCCATCAGCGTCCAGAAGCCCCAAAGTCACTAAGAATCTGGGAAATTCCTAGAGGAGTTGCTCAGGATGGGCGGTGAGGCGCAGAGCGAATCACCTGGGCCGGATCTGAATAGGAGTCACAGCCAGACCTCAGAGTGTTCTCAGCTCCGGCTGAAGCCCACGTGAGCCCAAGTCTGCCCAGAGGAACTCCAGCGTGCCCTGCCTGCATGAGGAGAGTGGACTACAAGCCCAGCTGATGCCAGCCCCAGCGTGGGAGGCCAGTAGGGTGCCTTGCAGCCGGGCAGACACGCGGGCATGTGGCCCCAGCAGCTAGAGACCCACCACACCCAAGGACGCTCCCTCTTCTCCCTGCCCTAGGGTCTTATTAAGCCATCCCTCATCCTGTACGCACAGTCCCATCTTCAGGAGGGAGGAAGGAGAAGGGATGCCATCTGCGAGATGGGGCAGGCACTTTTATCCAAGAGAGACTGGATATTTCTTTTTATTGGATCTGACTAAGGTTTACTGCCTTCCCCACCAGTAGGTAGGGGCACAAAGAAAGGCCATAACAGAGGCAAAAGGAAGAAACTACAATTTCTCTGTGTATCTTAGTATAGTGTTACTAAATTTTGTGACCAGTTACAGACATGATGCTTTCCCTACAGAGAAACCTCCCTTCACCCGTGCACCCAGCTAACTTCTGTTTGCCTGGCTGAGTACCTCCCCAACCCCCCATACTTTGTTTAGCTAACCAGTTGTCACACTTGATTTTAATCATATATTTAATTTGACTCCCTTCCCTGCTAAGCTATAAGCTTCATGATGCCACAGTCTCTGTCTGGTCCAGCACTTGGTCTTTAGGGCCAAACATGGTATCGGCATCTTGAAAGCGCTCAGCAAATACTCCCAAATGAGTGAATGAATGAGAGGCAGGATTTTCCATAGGACATCAAAATGCTCGTCTACAAGTAAGAAAAAGAATATTCTCTACCTCAGATGGTTGAATGCTGTGAAAAATAAATGGCGTGATACAAGCAAACTACTTAGTATAATTATTGACACTTTATCATTTAAAAAATTTGAGCTATTACCATTATCATGAAATAGTATTCTCACTTAGCCCCTAGCTCAGTGTTCTACACATAGTAGGTAGTTAATAAACAGTAAATATTTTTATTTTTTTATTTTTTTTTATTTTTATTTTTTTTATTCTTATGTTAATCCCCATACATTACATCATTAGTTCTAGATGAAGTGTTCCATGATTCATTGTTTGTGCATAACACCCAGTGCTCCATGCAGAACGTGCCCTCCTCAATACCCACCACCAGGCCAACCCATCCTCCCACCCCCCTCCCCTCTAGAACCCTCAGTTTGTTTTTCAGAGTCCATCGTCTCTCATGGTTCGTCCACCCCTCCGATTTCCCCCGCTTCATTCTTCCCCTCCCGCTACCTTCTTCTTCTTCTTTTTTTTTTTCTTAACATATATTGCATTATTTGTTTCAGAGGTACAGATCTGAGATTCAACAGTCTTGCACAATTCACAGCGCTTACCAGAGCACATACCCTCCCCAGTGTCTATCACCCAGTCACCCCATCCCTCCCACCCCACCCCCACTCCAACAACACTCAGTTTGTTTCCTGCGATTACGAATTCCTCATATCAGTGAGATCATATGATACATGTCTTTCTCTTTTTGACTTATTTCACTCAACATAATACCCTCCAGTTCCATCCACGTCGTTGCAAATGGCAAGATCTCATTCCTTTTGATGGCTGCATAATATTCCATTGTATATATATACCACATCTTCTTTATCCATTCATCTGTCGATGGACATCTTGGCTCTTTCCACAGTTTGGCTATTGTGGACATTGCTGCTATAAACATCGGGGTGCACGTACCCCTTCGGATCCCTACTTTTGTATCTTTGGGGTAAATACCCAGTAGTGCAATTGCTGGATCATATGGTAGCTCTATTTTCAACTTTTTGAGGAACCTCCATACAGTTTTCCAGAGTGGCTGCACCAGCTTGCATTCCCACCAACAGTGTAGGAGGGTTCCCCTTTCTCCGCATCCCCGCCAACATCTGTCGTTTCCTGACTTGTTAATTTTAGCCATTCTGACTGGTGTGAGGTGGTATCTCATTGAGGTTTTGATTTGGATTTCCCTGATGCCGAGCGATGTTGAGCACTTTTTCATGTGTCTGTTGGCCATTTGGATGTCTTCTTTGGAAAAATGTCATAAACAGTAAATATTTTTAAAAATAGTTGCTAAATACTGAAAATGTGAGTTCCCAAAATAGCTTCTTTTTGTTTCAAAAATAGAAAGTAGCCCTTTGCTGGAATAAATTTGGTATTACTTTAAGTATCAAGCTACTTAATTATACTAAAAGTAAGATTCAGTTTGCTAATACTAGTTATGAATACAGCCTTTAAGAAAACCTTTTTTTGTTGTTGTTAAATGGATATGTTTTTACAGAAACCCCCCAGACACCTCAGAAAGTAAAAAGACAAGGGAGCTTGTAAACATTATAAGTGAAATACATTAGCAGTCACTAGTATATAATCAATCAATAAATAATATGATCTCCCAGGAGGTAAACCCCTTTAGGCAAATCAGCTAATGTCTGGAAAAGCAGTCCTTATCTGGACTGGAAAATGAAAGAGACTAAATTTGAAGGGCAGTTCTCAGTTCTCATTTCTATGGATTTCTCTCTGGGGAACTTCATTTCTAATAGGATAGTTAACATTTCAATACAAAAGTACAGAATGTACTTCTTGTGATTTATTTAGACATTTTTCTTATGGCAGAATATTTTATGGCTTTAAATCTCTTATTACCCACATGCCCAATTTTAGACCAAATCCCCAATGAGTAATGTAGGTCAAAGAGAAGTTGTGATTTATTTATTTAATAACCCACTTTTAGCATCAAGTGAGGCAGTCGTACCTGAACTTAAAAACTGTGAAGTTCCTTTCAATCCTTCCTTTCTTCCCAAATCATTCAGAAAAAAAGCCTGTGGTGGGAGTGAGCAGGCACAGGAGTGTGG